ACAAAAAGCCCACGGTGATTAACATTCTCAATGGGGAAAAACTGAGAGCTTTTCCCCTAAGGCCAGGAACACGGCAGGGATGCCCACTCACCACTGTTGTTCAACATAGTACTAGAAGTCCTAGCTTCAGCAATCAGACAACAAAAAGAAATAAAAGGCATTCAAATTGGCAAAGACGAAGTCAAACTCTCACTCTTCGCAGATGACATGATACTTTATGTGGAAAACCCAAAAGACTCCATCCCCAAATCGCTAGAACTCATACAGGAATACAGCAATGTGGCAGGATATAAAATCAATGCACAGAAATCAGTTGCATTTCTATACACTAACAATGAGATGAAAGAGAAATTAAGGAATCAATCCCATTTACAATTGCACCAAAAACTGTAAGATACCTAGGAATAAACCTAACCAAAAAGGTAAAGGATCTGTACTCTAAAAACTACAAAACACTTACGAAAGAAATTGAGGAAGACGTAAAGAATTGGAAAAACATTCCATGCTCATGGATTGGAAGAATAAATATTGTTAAAATGTCTGTGCTACCCAGAGCACTCTACACATTCAATGCAATCCCTATCAAAATACCATTGACATTTTTCACAGAGCTGGAACAAATAATCCTAGAATTTGTAGGAAACCAGAAAAGACTCTGAATAGCCAGAGGAATGTTGAAAAAGAAAACCAAAGCTGGTTGCATCACAATACCAGACTTGAAGCTATATTACAAAGCTGTAATCATCAAGATAGTATGGTACTGGCACAAAAACAGACACATTGATCAATGGAACAGAATAGAAAACCCAGAAATGGATCCTCAACTCTATGGTCAACTAATCTTTGACAAAGCAGGAAAGAATATCCAATGGAAAAGGGACAGTCTCTTCAACAAATGGTACTGGGAAAATGGGACAGCCCCATGTAGAAGAATGAAACTGGACCATTTTCTTACACCATACATAAAGATAAACTCAAAAGAGAAGAAAGACCTAAATGTGAGACAGGAATCCATCAAAATCCTAGAGGAGAACAGAGACAGTAACCTCTTCCACCTCAGCTGCAGCAACTTCTTGCTAGATACTTCTCCAAAGGCAAGGGAAACAAAAGCAAAAATGAGCCATTGGGACTTCATCAAGATAAAAACCTTTTGCACAGCAAAGGAAACAGTTGACAAAACCAAAAGACAACTGATAGAATGGGAGAAGATATTTGCAAATGACATATCAGATAAAGGGCTAGTATCCAAAATCTATAAAGAACTTATCAAACTAAACACCCAAAAAACACATAATCCAGTCAAGAAATGGGTAGAAGACATGAACAGACATTTCTCTAAAGAAGATAAAACAATGGCCAACAGACACATGAAAAAATGCTCCACATCACTTGGCATCAGGGAAATACAAATCAAAACCACAATGAGATACCACCTGACACTGGTCAGAATGGCTAAAATTAACAAGTCAGGAAATAACACATGTTGGTGAGGATGCTGAGAAAGGGGAACCCTCTTACACCATTGGTGGGAATGCAAGCTGGTACAGCCACTCTGGAAAACAGTATGGACGTTCCTCAAGAAGTTAAAAATAGAGCTACCCTATGACCCAGCAATTGCACTATTAGGTATTTACCCCAAAGATACAAATGTATTGATCCGAAGAGGCACCTGCAGCCCAAAGTTTATAGCAGCAATGTCCACAATAGCCAAACTGTGGAAAGAGCCTAGATGTCCATCGACAGATGAATGGATAAAGAAGATGTGGTTCGGGCGCCTGGGTGGTTCAGTTGGTTAAGCGACTGCCTTCGGCTCAGGTCATGATCCTGGAGTCCCTGGATCGAGTCCCGCATCGGGCTCCCTGCTCGGCAGGGAGCCTGCTTCTCCCTCTGACCCTCCCCCCTCTCATGTGCTCTCTCTCATTCTCTCTCTCTCAAATAAATAAATAAAATCTTAAAAAAAAAAAAAAGAAGATGTGGTTCATATATTCAATGGAATATTACTCAGCCATCAGAAAGGAATACTTACCATTTACATCAAGGTGGATGGAACTGGAGGGGATTATGCTAAGTGAAATAAGTCAATCAGAGACAAACAATGATCATATGGTTTCACTCATATGTGGAATATAGTAAACAGTGCAGAGGATCATAGGGGAAGGGAGGGAAAACTGAATGGGAAGTCATCAGAGATGGAGAAAAACCATGAGAGACTCTCAACTCTAGGAAACAAAATGAGGGTTGCTGGAGGGGAGGTGGGTATGGTGATGGGGTAATTGGGTGACAGGCATTAAGGAGGGCATGTGATATGATAAGCACTGGGTGTTATACGCAACTGATGTATTATTGAACATTACATCTGAAACTAATGATACAAAATTTAAAAAAAGAAAAGAAATGTTAATACATTAGATATACAAATGGACACATTTTCACAGACAACATCAGCAAGACAGTTAAAGTCAATGAACTTTGAAAACAAATTATTATGAGGCCATGTTTATACAACCACGTCTGAATAGCTGGAGTTCAAGCCTTTATTTTATCTACTTTGTTCAGGGTAAACTGAATTAATAATATGTCTCACTAGTGCCTTATTGATGCAGCTGAAACCCTCCAAAAAGTGGCAAGTGAATTCTTTCAGCTAGAAAATATTAATGATTTGTTTTCTGCATATTTCACAATATTTTAAAAGAACATCTTTGAGAAAGACACGTGAGAAAGGTATCTTCTACGGTGACAGAAATCACCCTGCTGTCATTCTTGCTCTCTGGAAAGCCAGTGCGGATCTGAGGTTCTAGCCAAAGGTTCACTTACACAGGGTGATTTCTATAGATATACAACTTACTTTACTACAAAGCATAAAAAATGTGGTTTTCTGGAGATAAGGATGAAAATCTACTGGATTGAGAGCTATCATCTATACTTTAAAATGTTAGAAATAAAATGCTCTTAAACTGAGGAGCTCCTCAAAGAGATGCCTTAGTAAGGGGATGCCCAGCAGAGTTTTCAAAACACACACAAAATATCTACAAAATTGAAAGCTTCCTCCCAAATCAAAAGGCTCATGGAGAATTGTCCTGACAAAATTCAGCTCTTATAAGTCAATTAGGACTTGAATAACACAATTGCAATGCAGAGAGTTGGACTCCTCCTGTGAAGCATTTCCCTAAGCATTGGTTAGGATTTTATTATAGGCTACTATATTTTTGTCTTTAACATGTCAGCCAGAGTGTATATTTATTCATTCATTCAACCATCATGTGCCTACTGGATGCCAGCATTGGGGATATAAAATGAACATGCTATGTGGCCCCTGAACTTCTTGAATTGGACAAGAAGTAAAAAGCGCATTGAGAATATCAGTGCTGTTCAAAAATTTAGAGTGATGTCAGGAAAGACACTCACTTCCCTTTGGGGGAGCTTCCTCAAAAGGAACAAACAGAAGGGTAGTCCAGGCAATGGAAATGACATTTATGATGGTGGGGGGGACAGAAACAAAGGCACTTTGGGGTCATGGCAAAACAGCTCAAAATGAATTGATGGACGGGAGGGGTGCCTGGCTGATTCAGTCAATACAGCATGTGACTCTTGATATCAGGGTCATGAGTTCAAGTCCCATGTTGGGCATAGAGCTTACTTAAGAAAAAAAAAAAAAGAGTCAGTGGGGAGATAGGCCAGGTGACCAATGGAGAAGAAATCTTTGATGGAAGTTAAAAGCAAGAAAATGATCAGAACTACATTTAAGGACAACACTCTGGGGTAGTATGATATAATGTTGCTAAAACAATTGGACATTTAATTGGCCAAGGTAAGTTGTGAGAGAAGTCACATCTTTGTCCACAGAAAAGATATTGACCTCTTTCAAATGAATGGGTTGGTCCTTTTCTCAGCAGTTGTCCTTGAATATAGGACCACCAACTGAAGGGAGGTGAAGAAGCCTTTACTTTCAGAGAGCTCATCTGGACATTACTGAGAGAGTACTGGAGAACCCGTGGCCATCATCCTTCAACCAAATGCATGTTACATGGGGCACTTCAAGCTCTGCTGTCAGTAACCAATGCAGATCCCAGGAAAGGGCAGTAGGCAATCAGAACTGTCCACATAATCACAGCAATCATGAAATAACTGACCCAGAAAGCAATTTAATATAACTGCTCATAGTCCTTCATCTTCAAATGTCAACTTCTGTCATAATTATTCTGCCAATCAGCAATTTTCTTTCAATATAATCAATATTTTCTTTATTTCAATATAATCTTGTTTTTCCAAATGGATTTATCATTTTTAATAAATTTTACTTATTTAATTTTTTGAAGTGGTGGCACATTCACATAGTTCAAGCATCAAGAAATATAGAAAGATATACAGCAATGTCTCCTTTCCACGCCTGCCCTCTATTTGCCAAGTTCCTATACCCCCAAAACAAGTAACCAACATTATTAGTTTCTCAGTTAGTCCCAGGAGTTTTAGAATGTATATACAAGCCAGTACAAGGATAGATTCTTTTCCTTTTTTTTTTTTTCACCCCAACAGGACACTATTTTGGCACCCTTTGTTCCCTACCTAAAAATAAATCTTGGAGATTGTATTAATCAGCTTGGGCTGCCATACCCAAACCCCATAGATTAGATGGCTTAAACAACAGAAATTTATTTTCTCACATTTCTGGAGACTAGAAATCCGAGGTCAGGGTGCCAGCCATGGTTGGGTTCTGGTGAGAGCTCTCTTCCTGGCTTGCAGATGGCCCCTCTCACTGTGTTCTCACTAGGCGGAAAGAGACAGCAAGTCTTCCAGTGTCTCTTATTATAAGAGCAGTGATCCCACCACCACGTGATCCCACCTTCATGACCTCATCTAACCCTAATTACTCCCCAGATACCATAACATTGGGGACTAAGGCTTCAACATATGAATTTGGGTGGGGGGGACACATACATTCAGTTTATAACAGAGATCTTTCCATATAAACATATAAAGTTTATTTTTTTTTATAGCTGCACAGTATGTTACTATTACAACATACATCTTTAATATTGAAACTGGGAAAAATAAAGCTGTCCTTAATCATTCTTTATTAATAGGATCTGCAGAAATACAGCAAGACGACATGAGTCCTAGAGATTGAGGTGAGGTTTCTGATGAGTTTACACCTAAACTGGAATTATATGCTGATGATTGCTGGAAATGTATCAAAACTTCAGTAATATGTTTAATGTACATTCGTTAGCTCATCAAAACTTTAGCTTTCTAAATCAAATATGGTTGAAATGTTATCCTAAGATGAAGCTACTAACTTGAAGATGCAAATTATATTAACAAAATACATAGCCATGAAATGTATTTTTTCTTGTCAATGCTTATAGACAACAGTCAGCTTACACCTGACCGTGACTTAACTAGACATGCTATATAGGCTGTTCTAAACATGTTAGTGTATATTTAGGTTTTGAGAAAGGTATTTGATATGTAGAAGAAGATTTAATGATCTTTATGAATAAAATTTGAATGATTATTCAGTTCAGAAAAGGGAAAGAATCAATAATGAGGAAGAGAAAAGAAGTATGGCCACAAAATACTTCTGGACAACCTTACTGAAAGCAAGATAATAGACTGTGTGCTGTTCCAGCCGCCTGAACCATCACTGCCTGAAGAAAGAGAAGGCAGAAGGGAGAGACAGAGTGAACAGAAGGTAGGTGAACAGAACAATGTGTTCTTAAAAATATAGCTTAAATTGGATTCAGGGAAAAGAGAGCAAGGAATCAAAGAGAGAACCAAGGTTTCAAGCCTTGGTGACTGGGTAGAAAAGTAACACTGTTGGCTGAGATAGGGTGAAAGATATTTAGGATAGAATGAGAGTTTATTTTATATACCTTATGTTTGGGGGCTAATGAGATATTATTATCAGTGGGCATTTAACATGTTGAAGGGAAGAGAGAGATCTGGGATTTGTTTCAAGAAGTATTTATGAGAATGAGAGGGGGGAGGGACGAGAAGGAGCCAGGACAGAATGATGGAGACCACTCACATTCAGAGGTAGAAGGAAACAGATGGGCATTAAAGGAGAGAGAAGAGTAGTCAGAGAGAGAGAAGGTGAATCAAGGTAGTGAATTGCAGACACCAAAAGAGAAGGGCAAAATCAGATGTGCCATGTGCTGGAAGAAGGGTCAACAAAGATATGGGCCCCCTCCCCAAAATATGTTAGGAGACATCAGATTTTAAGACATTAAGTAATGAGCTGAATGCTGAGAAAGTAAACTCAAAAAATGCATTACATTGGTAATTTTTTGAGATGATTGTGAAGATAGGATAACAATATTATTCCATATTTTTATTCCACTTCAAAATCATAAAGTCCTTCCACATATATTCTCTCTTTTGATGATATCTCAAGGGGATAGTCCTGTAGGTAGATGTGTAGAGAAAGATGCAGTGGAGAGGGGTAATCGAAGATGTAAATAGAAGTTGGAGTATTGGATGGAGTTAGTTTCTTAGGGAGGTAAAAGAGGAAAGAATTTAGTGCTGGAGAGAGTAGTGGGTAATGATGTGGGAAACAAAGGCAGAAGGAAGTGTAGATAAAATTAAATGTCCATATAACCTGCAGCCCATTGACAAATACTTGAGGCAGGCAGAGTATAATGTCTTAATATTAATGCCCTGCTAGAGGGAAAAACCACCTTAGTTTGACAATAGCAAGGCCTCCTATATCCTGTGTCTCCTTTAGCACATGAAAATCCTTTTGGAACTTCCTTTATCTTTAATTCCTCCAACCCCAAAGTATATAATCAGTTATTCCTCATAATCCCGGGGCAGCAAAGGGGAGCAGAAGACAGCGGAGGCAGTGGGGGCAGCAGGGGCAGCGGGGGCAGCAGCAGCTCCTTCTGCCCACAGGTCCTGTCCTTGTGCTTTAATAAAACCACCATTTTGCACCAAAGACATCTCAAGAATTCTTTCTTGGCTGTGGGCTCCAGACCCCACCAAACCTTGCCTATTTATTCCGAAAACTACATCAGGTAAGAGACACCATTTTGAGGTAAAACTAGTTAAGAAAAATTCATGACTAAAAAGACCTGAAAGTAATCAAGGTAATCTTGAATCAAGGGCCCAACTGACAGGAGAAATGTCAAACAAGTGGGGAAATGCTGATGTTGGCATAAAAAGTCAAAACACTGGATCTGCACCCAGTCATGAGCTCTCCAGATCTCTAATATAATACCATGTCCACCCACGAATGTAACGGTGAGTGGACACTGAAGTACTGGAGCCAAGAGCAAACTGTTCAATGTCTTTTTTCTTTTTTTTTTTAAGATGTATTTATTTATTTGAGGGAGAGAGGCGGGGGAGGGGCAGAGGGAGAGAATCTTCAAGCAGACTCCCTGCTGAGCGTGGAGCCCAACGCGGGGCTCAATCCCAGGACCCTGAGATCATGACCTGAGCCAAAATCAAGAGTTGGATGCTTAAACGACTGAGTCACCCAGGCGCCCCAATAGTTCAATGTCTTAAATAACCCCAGCAGAGATTTTAAGAGAAGTTCCTCCACTACAGAAATCAATTTATAAGTCTGCTCTGAGTTCCCACCCCCAGGCCACTCTACAGGAAGCAAAAGCATTAAGCAAGCTGTTAGCATAGTGCATTCCTCCAGGACTTTTTCATACAACAGGATGTCTGTCTGTGTCAGCCTCCAATCACCCTCTTTAGAGAGTTCTGCTTTTTCTAAGACAGTACCCAAGTGTTTATAACTTTCTCTATTAAAAGGCATGCACGTTAAGAAATAAATTTAAGTTTGTACTCTATGAGCTAATACATTGGGATATTACCCCATCTTCCTGGCTTGGTGTTTGGTTTGGGAAGGAGTATGCAACCTCTGTTGATCCAATGCAAGTCATTCTTGAGATTGTTTACAGGCTGGAGCCAAAGCGGAAGAAATCTTCTTTCTTTGCTAGTAAAAGGGCTGCTAGGATGAGATGAGAAACCAAAGCTACTAGGAGCCATGCTTCCCATGGCACGGAGAAAGCTATCTGCAAAGAGAACCAGAAACACGAGTCAGAAATAGAGAGTATAAGCCCTAAAAGGATTCCTGACACTGAATCCAGCCATCTCCAGGACCAGTTCCCTATATCCTGTGTTTGGGTTACACCAGCCCATAAATTCTCCTTTTTGTGTGGGCAAGTTGGGAGTTTGCCATTTGCAACCCAAAGTACCCCAACTTGTGCACGGAATACCTTATACTTACAAGGTGCTCAATAAATAGATATTGATTATCTGGTTGCTTCAGTATTACTGATTTTTCTATACATTTTGCTTCTGCACTTTTTTTGTGCCCTATAACCTCTCTCTCAGTGAGGCTTGATTAAAGGTAAGGCTGCAATTTTCTGGTAATTACGGGGAATAACCCAAAGCTGACCAAGGCCATTTAATATGTCTGTGTTTCAGTTTCCTAATCTGTAAAATATGGCAAATAATAATAGCAGCTATTTATTTAGCATCTACTATATTCCAAGTACTGGCCTAATGCTCATATGCATTATTCTAGTTCCTATAGCAACTTTGTAACACATGCATAATGATCCTCATTTTATAGATGGGGAAGCTGAGATGCAATGAGCTTAAATGAATTGACCAAGGTCATACAGCTTGAGTGACAGAATTCTGATTCACATCTAGGTTTGCCTGAGCCTGTGCTCTTTCCAATGTCCCATGATGCCCTACTTATTCAAAAAGCTTTTGTGTGTGTAATAAGATAATTCAGGTACAATTGCTCTAAAAATAAAAAGAGATCAAAAATCGTTCTCCAATTGACAATAAAAAGTGTGGCAGTGGGCCCAAATATTAACGAGGAAGATTTAGTTTTAGGACATTCTGACTACCCCAATTATGGCATTAGAAACAGTAACTGAAAAATAAATGATGAATCTCATATAAAAGAGAAATTTTATGAAAAGAGAAAGTACAGCCAAGATTCTGTTCCATTTCTGAAGCCTCAATAAAATTCCAAAAGACATAAGTAAGTAAGCTTTGCTAAGCTAGGGAGACATTTCTAATTTTCCTCATTGAACCATCAATATGGAGGCCCTGGCATTTCCTTTGTGTCCCTGTTAATGAAGTTCCTTATAAACTATGAACACTTTCACGTAAAGATCTGGATGGCAATATCAGTGGTATTTAAAATGAACAAACGTTTAGTCATGATGTCTACATACCATTAAAGTACATGCAAATCCTATTTTTGTAGAAGTTTAACTGAAAGAAGGCAAAGACCAAGTCTATATGTTAAATGACCTTTTGTAGTAAAACATTTGTGTTCCTCAAGGTATAACTTTTTTTGTATATAACTATTTCAAACAACTTCAAGGAAACCACATTGTGAACTATCTGTTTCATGTCCATTTTCTTCATTAGACTGTGAATACTTTGGGCATAGAAATTGTGTCTTCCTCATCTTCTTATCTCTAGAATCTAGTATAGTGAAATTTTGCATAGGTTGGTCGGCATAGGACCTTTGGGGGTTCTGGGAACTTTAGCCTGCATGGACCTCTTCCTCCATAAAAAATATTAAAAATATTATATTTTATGACCATGTTGGTAAAAAGATGAATATATTAGTATTATGCATTTAAACATTCTCTTTGACCTAAAATTTCTTTTTTTTTTTTTTTTCCTTCTGACTTTAAAAGAAATTAAAACAGGGGAGTCTGGGTGGCTCAGTCAGTTAAGCATCTGCCTTTGTATTGGGTCATGATTCCAGGGTCCTGGGATCCAGCCCTGCCAATCTGGCTCCCTGCTCAGCTGGGAGTCTGTTTCTTCCTCTGCCCCTCCCCCGGCTCATGTTCTCTCTCTCTCAAATAAATAAATAAAATCTTTAAAAAAATAAAATAAAATAAATTAAAACATTTGCACAGGCCCCTAAAAGTAATGTGGGCTCCAGGTGCTACGCCTATCCTGCGTATGGATAAGTCAGTCCTATTATGTGTTACATACAATTTTGTTGAATGAATTAAATGAATAAATGATTTAAAATTAATATTTATCTGGTGGTAGTGATTCTTCAAGCTTCTATTTTGGAGTAATTTTCAGTTTAAAATATTTTCAAAAAGCAACTAATTAATAAAAATATCAAAATATACGAATATTTATTTAATCTGAAGCCAACTGTTGAAATGTACTACTGTAAAAAAAGTAAAAACCCAAAGCAGCATAGAAGCACATCAAAGTAGCAAAATAAATATTCAAAAATAATATCAGACATTGTTATGATTTTGAACAAATGCAGCACACCCCTTAAATAATGAAATTTAAATATTTTCTTTTTTAAACTCTAACATTCCAAGAACGTCAGTTCATAAGGTAGATACTTAAAAAACGTGGAGCCGCATGATTATTGACTATAATAATTGAGTTAAAACACCTTCCCCAAATGCTAGACCTGCTGCTGCCTTCCACAACATTGCTTTTGGAACTCAGCATTTCTTCTGTTGTTTTCAGAGACATCTTTTTTAAATGGGAAATTGATTGATGAAATCTTAGCCATGAATAAGTGCTAATGCATACAATAAATTAAAATGCTGTCATTTTATAAGAAAGGTTTATTGGCTAACTGTGCTATTTCTTCTAGTAACTCAAAGTCTAGTGTTTAATTTACAGAATGAAATGCGGAAATCAATTATTCAGTTCATAGAATGACAAAACTGCTTCTCAAAGTTATGTTTTGGGAGGCAACCAGACTGACTTAGTCACTGACTTAAAACACAGAGTGTCATATCTGACAGTTTTTCCCACTTCAAAATGTATCGAACAATGTTCAAACTATGAGGAAGCACTTTTGCATTGTCTGGTCAGTGCTGTGTGCAAATTAATATCTGTATAATAATTCAGACTCACCCTTCCAAAAAGCGTATCATACGTATAAAGTGGTACTGGTATTTATGGGATGGACATCTACCAGAATTGCTCTTAAAGGCTACATAATAAAAGTGCATTAAAGCTGCCTAAATTAATTAACCATAGATACTGAAATGGATTCAGCTAATGGATTCTGCCTCTCCAGAGAGTGCCTCTTTTAATAATAAAACAACAGCAAAAAAACACACTTTTCCTCCCTGTTTTCATAACATGTAGCCAGCCATCTGAACAAGAGCAGGAGGGGGAGTAGGACTGCTCACACCATCCCTGAGCCAGCAAGAGGGAGAGGTCATCTAGTGATCAGACACTCTTGCTTCTCCTCTCCAAGGGCAAATGGGCTGCCTCAGCAGCTGTCACATCTTGCTCCCCTTCGAAACAGGAAACCAGTCTAGAGTTTCACACTTACCTTCTGCCTTGTGTTACCAAACTGGCAGTCTTGCCAGATCCTTGAAAATGCCCATTATATATGAAGGTGGTGAAGGTTTTGAGGGACTGGTAAATAGGAGGGCATTTATGTTTGGGACAGGGCACTACCTGGCTCAGCTATCTGCCATCGATTGTAAGGTTGCAAGAGAGAGAGGTGAAAGAAGCATAGAAGAGTGGAAGACACACAAGGTCATTTGGTCCATCTCATGCCAGTAGGCAGAATCACATCCCCAAGTACCGCTGAACCAATAAAGGGTCTTGTAATGAGACTGCTAGTTACCCAACGGCAAATAATGAGGAGCTTCACCAAAGATCTAGGTTGTGAACTCACAAATCATGGTTATTCAACTTGCTTTTCAATCAGACAAGCCCCTATTTTCCCTGTTTCCCACACCATGTCCTCCTTTGGCCCCCTTATTGCTCATTAGCAGTTCCAGCAGAGGGCAGGCAGGGGAAAGGAGAAGAGACATATGTTAGAGCAAATGATCTAGAGTCTTCTGAACATGTTAAAGCAAATTTTCTCAATTACTAAGAGCAACAATGGTCTTTCTGTCCAAATGTTGTTGTTGTTGTTGTTGTTGTTGCTTTCTGTCCTTCTGTCTATATAAGGTATTATTGTCAGTTTTCAGGTCTCCTCTCTCAAGGAATTTACAGTCTGGTTTGGGAAGGCAAAATGAAGACACATGAAATAGTGAGAAAGCCATGCTCTAAAGCCACCCTAAGCGATTTCAAGTAAAGTCGTGGTTCCAAGAGAAGGAAGACAGGTCTTTGTGTGCTGAAGCTGGTGATAACATATACAGATTGAAAGTATAAACCAAAGTAAATAATTAGTGCAGAGAAGTGAGAATCAATGTCTATGCAAATGTAACTGTTGAAAATTCTCTGAACAGGCCTGGGTGACAGCCTCATGGAGAGGACTTGCAGGCATCCTGTTAGAATTTGGTTTATGTGGGACAGGTCTCATCCTATCTCGGCACCAGGCTCTTTGCAGTGATCAGCCAAAGTGAGGGGACTGGTTGGCATGCAGGATCAGTTGGCATTCCTGGAGGAAAAATATTCAGTATCTTTCCAAATCATTCATTAAGGTCTGTGTGACAGTGTCATGAGCAACTCGCTGTGGGGAGGTCTTCATCAGATAAACAGGACTGCAAAATTCAGAGCCAAGGAATGCGGGCTGGAGAGGCACTCCCAGCTCCAGCTGCTACCTGAACACCCAGGACTGGCTGAGAACCAAGGAGACATGCTGAAACCAGGAGCCTCCGCGACGAATGGCAATGTTACAGCTGCTTAATCCTGAAATGAAAAGTAATTGCTTCTGGCTTAAAGAATAAAGGAAAAACAAGATCAGCCTTGGCTGAATTAATTTTTTTCCAAAAACAACCATGCTGTAGACCAGGTTCTAAAACCTGCTTGGTATTTGAAAATGTGAGGAAATGGATGTTTTCTGTCAATATAATTTAAATCCATCCAGAAGTACTGATATATAAGAACATTTGAATGCAAATACATTTTGATTAACATGATTAAATCAAATGTGTTTACTTTCAGCTCTAAGGGATGACATCTAAAATTTAACTTACCTAAATATAATTTTAGAAAGTCGGCTTTCAAAATAGCTCTTTCTTTCTTTTCTTTCTTTTCTCTTTTGAAGGATTTTCTACTGAAAGTCTCAGCAGAAGATACCAGAGCTCCTTTTTTTGTACAGATGAAACTGCAAATGGAGAAATATCGAAGCAGGGGGAGGGGAAAGACATTTCAATACTTGTAATATATGCCCATGATGCAATTGTCTTCTCTATAGAAAAAAGAATTCATAAAAATTCCTAAAGGAACTGCTGCAAGTTTAAATTATTGTTAGAAGGATCGGAAGAGGACTTTAACCCACAACTGAGTAAGTAATATTCTTATTTTTACTTGTTTACCTCTCAAGGGACTACAGAATGACAAATGTCAGATTTTCTGTATATAGAATTTTCATTTCCTTGAGAGCAAGAAGGCAATGACAAAGAGTAAAAACACAGCAAGAGTGAGAACAAACGAATCTTGCCTTTCAAGGTTTAATTTTTAAATATATGTATTAACTTAAAATATTTGTGGCAGACGCACAATGATGTAGAGAAAACTAATTAAAATACTTCTTGTTTCCTAGAGCCATATAAAATTGCCTACATAAACAGCAATTTCACATGGTTTCACCTAGTATCATAAGCCCCCACAGGAGTATCATCAACCAATAATAACCAGCAAGGAAGAGAACGCAGTTTGTCTCCCTGCTATCATTCTGTACAAACACTAATATTATAAAACAAATATGACACATGCTGTCTTCTTGCAGGTGCTAACATTGAGGACACTCCTCACAGAAAAACCGAGGCTATTCATGGTCATTATTATTTTTTTTTAAAGATTTTATTTATTTGAGAGCGAGAATGAGAGAGAGAGAGAGAGCATGAGAGGGGGAGGGTCAGAGGGAGAAGCAGACTCCCTGCCGAGCAGGGAGCCCGATGCGGGACTCGATCCAGGGACTCCAGGATCATGACCTGAGCTGAAGGCAGTTGCTCAACCAACTGAGCCACCCAGGCGCCCTATTCACGGTCATTATTCACAGCATGTATTTCTGCTTCATTAGTTCAAAACAAACAAGCAAAATAATTCTACTACCAGATGTTTTTTGGATACCACCGGTTTTTAAATTTTGTTTAACCTGAATCATGACACTGACAACTGTGTCCACTTTCATGCGAGCTCAAGCCGGTGGACGGCAGCAAGCCCAGCTACAGACCCAATAACTTGATACACCGTCATCACAAACATGAGGGCCTTTTTAAAATGAAAGGTGTCATACAGCTCATGAGGTAAGACAGCCATGAACAACACCGAGAATGCAAAGAATATCCAGTTTATGAGGTGTGCTCTCTATGGGGATATGACACACAGCCAGTGACCCTGAAAGCCACAATATTTCCAAAGATGAAGGACTAGGGTACTTAGGAACACTTTGAATAATAAAAAAAAAAAAGCAGTCCTTTTTATATCAATACTCTGTCATTCTATGCCAGCATTCTATGCCAGGAAAGGGTACTGAGTGTGAAGATGGCCCCAATTTTCTTTTTTATGCTCAGCATGATTCAGATATTAACAGGGTTTCTATTCCCATCATAGAGAAGCCTCCAACAAGCTTTCTATTCTTACAAAACATGAGAATGTCCAAAGGAAATATAAATTTAAAGTACAATGCAAACATATATTTTAACGGGGATGTTGAGGGAATTAGGAAGTGTATGGAATGTTGTTCACAGCAATTTTAACCCAAATATGTCACCAGCAGATTTAAGGCAGTTTCCGTTTTCTATGTAAAAAAATTAAAATTACAGAAGTGCAATCTCTCATGTCAAATATTATTAAATCATCAATGACACATTTTCTTCAAACCTCCTTACTCCAATACCAGATGACCTTGGGAGGAAGCAAAGGTCTTTCTTTGCCTAGGGATTTCAATTACAGACTCACTCTTTAGTATCTGCATTTCGCTCTGGAATTACTGACAATTCAAATATAATTTTCAACATCCTCCTGGGTGAACTAACCACCAAGTGCCTCACAACTTGCTTTCTAAAAAGAAATCTATCTCTTCAAATTATTACTTCATAAAAAGTGAAGCTTAATGAGATTTTAAAATACAGACTTAAAGGGGTTTATCCTCCTCATGACCTGGCCAGTATTCATCCTCTCCTGGAAGCATCCTGCTCTCCTCTTTTTCTAGTGTGAATTTTGACGAAACTCTGAGGAAATAGCCAGTGGGACAGCAAAGGTGACTTTCCTGAAGGATTGCTTCACCCAACCCAGCAGGTAGGGGCTGAAAAGGACTTCACATACTTTCCAGGTGATTCATATGATGCACACTAAATTTGAGACGCAATGGGTAGATAGCCCTTGTGAGGTGTTTGGCAGTGATAAAAGGAAACATTTATTAAATGCTTACCAAAAAGAGAAAAATATCAAGTATTAGAATTCTACTTGGCCCATGATCCAACCAAGGTAAGAGATTAAAAGCACTTATTTAAGGTCACAGAAATGGACCAGGCCCCAGATTCCCTGATTCCCAGAAAACTGCAATGTCCACTGAGAACTTAACTCCATAATTAAGAGTGACACTCATTCAATAACAAGCAAGGAAAAACAAATTTCTATTGATCCACAGATCTACCATTTCCGTACTCTTCATTTTTCATGTTGATCTGAGTTCCCATCTGGTATCACTTCCTTCACCCCTGAAGACTTTAACATGTCTTAAAGTACATGTCTACTATCGACAAATTCTCTCAGCTTTTGTTTATTTGGCAATGTTTTCTTTTTCATTCTTTCTCTCTTTCGTCCTTGCCCTTGCTCTCATCCTTCTTATTCCCTTCATCTTTGAAGGATCTTTTCACTAGTTTTCTAATTCCAGGTTAACAGGTTTTATTTCTTTCAGCACTTTAAAGATGTTATTGCGTTGTCTTTTGGCTTGCAGAGAAGTCAGATGATTGCTCCCATAAGGTCTTGTGCAGAATGAGGTTTTTCCCTCTGGCTGCTATTAAGATGTTTCTCTTCAGCCCTTGGTTTTCAGATATTTGACTATGATGTACCTGAAAGTGGTTTTCTTCATTTTTATCCTGCTTGTAGTTCGTTGAGCTTATAAAACTCATGGGTTAACAATTTTCATCAAATTTGGATTTTATTCCAGCTATTTTTCTTGGAAAAAAAAAAACCCAACATTTATTTATTTATTTATTTATTTATTTATTTATTTATTTATTTATTTATTTATCCCAGTCACCCTCTCCTCTTCTTCTGGAACTCCAGTTCACAAATGTCAGGCTACTTCATACTCCCCTACAAGTCAATGAGACTCTGTTCATTTTTTTCTAGCCCTTTTTCTCTGTGTGTGCTTCAGTTTGCATAGTTTACGTTACCCTATCTTCGAGTTCACTATTTTTTTTCTTCTGTAGAATGCAATTTACTGTTAAGCCCATCTAGGGATTTTTTTTTTTTCATTTCAGATATTTTATTTTTCAGTTCTAGAATTTCTAATTGGGTTTCTTTCATTGTTTCCAGTTCTCAAGTGAGTCCTCTCCTCTACTCATGTGAGCCTTTATTTTCTTATAAATCCTCAAACACATTTATAAGAACTGTGTTAAAGTCCTTGCTTGTTATTTCCAACATCTCTGTCATCTCTAGTTATGTTTAATCCCTGAAGATGATACTGAAAGATCAATAAATAAAACCCAAATAACAACAAAACCACTAGTTCTGTCCAAGATCGCACATGCTCAACTGCTGGAATCCCATGTCCCCGAATCCCTTCCTGTCACCTGGGAGAGAGTGAGGAGTCAAATGCCCTCTTCACTGCCACTTGCTTGTCACTGCACTCATTCATTGCCTCCTTCCCGAGCCCTCATGGCTTAGCCCCGGCGGGAGGCGGCTTTACACGTCGGTACCTCTCTGAGATGTTGTTCTTTGGGTACCACCATTGCTCCCACCGCACCCACTGCCATCTTGTGTTCAGTGCTGCAGCCGCTGGCCCAGGGCTGCTCCAGGCCAGGCAGCTTTTCACCACAGCCCAGGCTGGCAGCATGTCTTGCTGCTTCTCCTCCGCATGCTCCAAATGATGGCCCTGCTTCTCCTGCTTCCTACTGCCTCTCTCTGCATAGCTGTGGAGAAGCCCGCAAGGAGCTGCCCCCTGCCTGCCCTTGTCCCCTGAGCTCGGGTCTGTTTCTCCTCCAGCCAGATTTTCTTACCATCTACAGCTACTGGTCAGAGGATGGATTTCCCCCTGGTGGTAGCTCTTGTTGAACAAAGATTCACTAAATTGCTAAGTATTTGCTAAGAACTTGTTATGTGTACAGAATCCTATTTGCTTGTCAAGCGATAAGCAAAAAAAAACTAAACAAACACACAAATGAATGATTTAAAGCCAAATATTATGTTTTGATAAGAGTCCTCTGTTGTGGGGCGCCTGGGTGGCTCAGTCATTGAGCGTCTGCCTTTGGCTCAGGTCATGATCCCAGGGTCCTGGGATCGAGCTCCGCATCGGGCTCCCTGCTCCGTGGGAGGCCTGCTTCTCCCTCTCCCATTCTCCCTGCTTGTGTTCCCTCTCTCGCTGTGTCTCTCTCTGTCAAACAAATAAAATCTTAAAAAAAAAAAAAAAGAGTCCTCTGTTGCAAAAAGTTGAAATCTACTGAACTCTATAGATGTTCATTAGTCTGTCTGTAAATTTCATCAATCGATTTGACAAATATCTACCAAGAACATGAAATGTACCAGGTTCTGTTCCCAGTGCTAAGAATATAAGATAGACAAGATACCCGATCTCATGGAGTTTAGAATAAACAAATAATACCAGTTACTAATAAATACAATATCAGATAGTGGAAATAATCTGGAGAAAATAAAGCAGGATAAATGGACAGAAACTAATGAGAGGAAAAAATATTGGATACGGAGGTGAAGGAAGGTCTCTGAGAAAGTGACATCTGGGCTGAATGACATGAAGATCTAGGGAAAAGACAGTCCAGGCAGGGGACAGCAAATTTATAGGAATGTAATGACTTACATAGTGAATGACAGGAAATGAGGTCAGACAGACAATCCAGCCCAGGTCAGGTAGCACTTTCAAAGCTATGGTAAGGAGTTTGTATTTTATTCTAAATACAGTGGGAAATGCTGGGAAATTTCAAAAGGGAATGACATTCTGTGATCACATTGAGAAAAGATCATTTTGGTGCTGTGTGAGGACTGATTGGAAGGTAGCAGGAATAGAAGAGCCCAAGACACGCTAGGAGCTATCATAACCTAAGTAAGAAATGATGGTTCTATAATGCCATGAAATAAATGTGTATTCTATTAGATAGTGCTCTCTGCTGATAGCCCATCATGCAGGATACTGGATCTACTATGTGACAAAAGTAGATGACAAGGTCAATGGCCTCAAAGACCTTTCTATAATTTAATGGAGCTGACACATAAAATTAAAAGAGAACAAAGGATGATGCCTTGTTGGGGCAATAAAAAATTGGCAGAGGTTAGTAGGCTCTTGACAATAATCTCTGGCTAGAGTAAAATCTTCCGGGTCACCCTACCCTAAATCACCACAGTGTTACAGAAGAACCAAAGAAATCATCATCCAAACCTCGAATCATACTTACACAACCAAGCAAATATAACCATAATTGTCAACATTTACTGAGCACTTAGAATGTTCCAGGCACTGTGCTAATGTCTACATGAATCATTTGATTCCTCCAGAATAGGACTATAATAGTGATTATCATCCCCATTTTCTGGATTAAAAAGCATGGCTATTGGACACGGTAACTTGCCTAATGTTACACAGAGCTACAAGAATTAGAGCCCTGCCTAAAATCCTAATCAGTCTGACCCCAGATCCAAGCTTATAAAGATGAGGCTAATGTTTTCCAAAGTTGCCTGATAACAAGAATTATCTGTGGCTGTTTTTACAGATACAATACCTGTACCCATCCCCCACTTCATGCCAGGCCCACCAAATCAGAATCTCCAGGGAGGAGTCTGGGAAGCTGTTACCTTTAACAATGGCCTTCAAATGACTATTACTATCTTATTCTTAATAGTATAATTATTCTAATTATATAGCCTACACTGGAATAGGCCATACCCAACATAAAGAATAAATGCACTATATAAAATAAAGGAAGAATCAAGACCAGTGGCATTTATCAGAGACTCCTTGGAAGAAGTTAAGTTTTCGGCTAGATTTTGAAAGGAATGCTAAATAAAAGAAAGCATTGCAGGAAAGAAAGGCATGAAACAGACAAAAAGGAGAGAATTAGGTGTGTAGGGCACTGATAAAAATTGATATCCCAAGGAGAGGAGGTGACTTGATTCAGCACACACCCTGCCACTCAGTTCTGTTTATAAGAATTCAAGCAGGTTTAGATTATTTGTAGGTTACCAAAGCTGCCTAGATCATTGGCCTGATCCTGGCCATTGTTGCCCTAGAAAGGCAATCCTTGAAACAAAACCCAACTATCATTCTCTTGGGTTAAAAGGTCAGAAAGAATCCTGTTTTTCAGAATTATTTCTTAAAAACTAAACATATTTACTTGACTTCCTACAATAGACAAATGATCCCAGAAGACAACCTTACTTGGAATATAATAATAATTTTTCTTTTATTGATATCATAGACAGTCTTTTTTTTTAGTATTTTATTTATTTATTTGACAGAGGGAGAGAGAGCACAAGCAGGCGGAGCGGCAGGCAGAGCGAGGGAGAAGCAGGCTCCCGACTGAGCAGGAAGCCCGATGCGGGGCTTGATCCCAGGACCCCTGAATCATGACCTGAGCTGAAGGCAGACTCTTGACTGAGGGACCCACCCAGGCGCCCCGACTCATAGACATTCTTAAGTACAATTCCAACGGGGTGCCATAGAAGCCATGTCCTAAATTCTTCTGCAGCATTACTTTTAACAGGCTGCAACTCAGTCAACAGATGCTCATCAAATGCTGAAATACATCAGACTCCATGAGCAGCACTGGGGAGACAATAAGTAAAATGTGGCTCTTTATCATGGGAGTTCAGAACCCAGCGGGAGAAGACAGACGACCAAATATGTAATTCCATTACAGGTCCTAGAATGGAGGCTCATACAAATGGTCAGGCACTCTACAGAGGGGGCGCTGGCTCTGCACGGGGGGATGAGGGAAGGTGAAGGGCCTTGCTTGCTGGGTTTTGGACGATTCACAGGATTTCGAGAGAAAGGGATGGAGCAAGTTCTGGAATACTGGAAGAATGACACAAAGGTCAGTATGAAAAAACAAGCATTCAGTCATGGAGGAGTCACACATTTCAGCCCACAATTTTTTTTTGCAGTCTGCAGAGTGGTTTTTTTTTTTTAGAATTACTTGTCAGTGTTTAAAATGGGGAGAATTTGTATACAAACCTTTATTTTTGACTTACTGGAAATGCAAAGATATAGGGGCATGTGGGTGGCTCATTTGGTTGAGGGTCTGCCTTCGGCTAACGTCATGATCTCAGGGTCCTGGGATTGAGTCCCGCATCGGGCTCCCTGCCCAGTGGGGAGTCTGCTTCTCTCTGCCCCTCTGTTACTCCCCCTGCTCATTCTCTCTCTCTCAAATAAATAAAATCTTAAAAAAAAAAAAAAGGGAAATGCAAAGATTTAGCAACACTGGGCCCACATTCAACTGATCTTGAGTAATAGCTACACCCCTTTAGAGGGAGATCCTTCTCCCCAGCCCATCCCAGACCCCACACCCTCTATTGTTTTATTCCCAGCCCTCCCCATGAGCATTTGCAGTTGTGAACCCTGGCAGAGAACAGGTGATAAGGTGACAGGAGAAAGCTTTGAATGAGAATGTGGTGTGACAAGTTTGGAGCCTTGCTTGCCAAGCGTTTTCAGATTTTACCATGTGGGTGAGGGGGAGGGTAAAGCAGGGTAGGAAAATGGTAAGAGCTGATTTTTAGGAGGTTGCCTTTGGCAGGGGCTTGGGGGGCATTTAGACTGAATATGGAAACTACTTAGGAAGCCACCACAATAGTTCAGGAAAGAGATAAGGACTTGTAGTAGAAGAGTGGTGATGAGGATGGAGGCAAGGGGCAGAGGCATAAAAGGAGTAGAGACATAAAAATGTTCCTAAATTGGTTTTGTTGGTTTTTCTTTAAGAGAGAGAAAGAGAGCACACATAAGTGGGGGGGGGGGGGCTGCGGGGGAGGGGCAGAGGGAGAGAGAGAGAGAAAGAATCCTAAGCAGGGTCCATGCTCAGCGCGGAGTCTGACACGGGGCTTGATCTCACTACCCTGAGATCATGACCTGAGCTGAAACCAAGAGTCAGACGCTTAACTGACTGAGCCACCCAGGCACCCCTCAAATTATTGAAATAAAAATGTTTAAACATCTACAAAAATTGAAAGAATAGCACAGTAAATACCAACCTCTACCCAGATTCAACCTCAACTCAACAACTGTTATCATTTTGACATATTTGCTTTATTTTTATACATGCACACATATACATGTGTGTGTATTTTGAAAGAAAGTTGTAGATGTCGTGACACTTCACACCTAAATATTAACACTCAAATATGCATCTCCTAAAAATAAGAATTTTCTTATATATCACCACAATGTCATTATCACATCTAAGAAAATTAATATTAGTTTCTTAATACCACATAATATGTCCTTTAACATATAGCTCATATAGAAATTTTCTCCAGTTGTCCCCAAAATGTTTAGCTGTTTTTACCAAGCCACAGGTGAATCAAGATTCATATATTGTATTTTGTTGTTATGTCTCCTTAGTCTCTTTTATTTTATTTTTTATTTTTTATTTTTTTAAGATTTTATTTATTTATCTGAGACAGAGAGAATGAGAGAGACAGAGAGCACATGAGAGGGGAGAGGGTCAGAGGGAGAAGCAGGCTCCCTGCCGAGCAGGGAGCCCGATGCGGGACTCGATCCAGGAACTCCAGGATCATGACCTGAGCCGAAGGCAGTCGCTTAACCAATTGAGCCACCCAGGCGCCCTCCTTAGTCTCTTTTAATCTAGAATAGTTCTTCCTACTCTTTTTCCTCTGATGATAATGACTTTTGGAAGAATCCAAAAGAGTTGTCTTATAGAATATCTCACGTTAGGGATTCCTCTGTGGGTTTCCCTGTAATTTGGTTGTTCTGTGATTCCCTGTAATTCCTATATATTTAAGGTTAGGTCTAAAGGCTTAATTAGATTCAATTTAACACTTTTGGCAAGGATAGTTCATAAATGATTTTGTGAATTTCATCCACATCATGTCAGAAGGACACAATTCAAGGTTATCCCATATAATTGGTATAGTCAAAGTAGTGACTACCAGATTGTTCCTTTGCAACCGGTAAATCACCCGTGTGATGACACTTTGTCACTGTGTGAATATCCTGTTCTGCAATACTCTCTCACCAGTGATGATCTTGCTTGAATCAATTATTTCATTGGGGGTTGCAAAATAGTGACTTTCAAATACCATCACTCCTTCTTTGGCCTTGTTTTCTAAATATGAGTTTTCCCTCATCAACTAGGATGATATAAAGTTCTTACTAAGAAGGCCAGGTAAATATTTAGTTCTTTCCCTTTTACTATCAATTTCAGAGTAAGAATTTGTTACCTTTAATGATGCAAATGATTTTGTTTCTTCTTTCCATTACTTTTTTTGGGTATCACCACAGACTCAGACTCATAGATTTTTAAATATTAAACATTTTGCAATCAATTTGCTTCAAATTGTCCAAATCTGTCTAGTGGAAGCCCTTGAAAACTAGCTCTTGGGTCCTTTTAACATGCCCCTATAAATCACTGAGCACTTCCTGGTTTTAGGCCTAACAAGATAACCTAAGCTCCACCTTGTAATTTCCCTGCTGAACAATTAGAATCAGCTATTTCTCCAAAGATCATTATTTTTTTTAGTATGTAATGATGAGTAGAAACCAAAATGTGGATTCTAGATGTGTTTATTGCTCAAGGGATGTCATTGCTTCTATATTCTTTTAGTAGACAGAGCTAGGATGGATAGATAGATACACATACATATGTATCTTTAATTCATAAGTCCATATTGATATTTTAAATTCAAATTTTAAATTCAAATATTAAACTATATTTTTATAGTTTTTGAAATATAAAATTTTAAGTTCAAATTTAAACTATAATATTACAAGCATTTTCCTATTAGATGTTTTAAAGTACAAATGAACAGAAGTGGATAAGGAGTTGGATGTGTGAGGCAAGAAAAAGAAACAAGAAGGACTCCCTAAATTCTTAGACTGAGAATCTGAGTCTGGATGGATGGCACTGCTGCTGCCATATTATCAAGATAGGAAGTAAGAAAAAATAGAAAAATTCCGGGGGTATGGGTGAGGGATGAGAAATCAGTTGTATATAGTTCAGTGTTTTATTATACTAGTTGTAAAATTAAATAATCTATTTAAGAACTGATACACACAGGTAAGTCAGTGATAAGGATTTTACATAGGTGTAGAAATTTAAGCTATATTCAAAGTATTGGTCAAGGGGCACCTGGATGGCTCAGTCGGTTAAGCGTCTGACTCGTGGTTTCAGCTCAGGTCATGAGCTCATGGGTTGTGGGATCAAGCCCCGTGTTGGGATCCACACTCAACGCAGAGTCTGGTTGGGATTCTCTCTCTCCTCTCCCTCTGCCCCTCCCCTACTTGAGTGCACCCTCTCTCAAATAAATAAATAAATCTTTAAAAAATAACCCCAAAACACAAAGTATCAGTCAATATTAATCTAACACTGGGTATTCTTCAAGCATCTGTGAAATGGATGAAGCTTGATACCTAAGTACAACTTATTGGGGCAATAAAGTCAAGCTCAAGCAGAGGAGAAAAGAAATGTATAAAGGTAAGGAAATTCTGAGACGTAAAGGAGAAACTTTAAAACAACCCTAGATTTAAAATATGCTATATTAGTTTGCTAGGGCTGCCATAACAAAATACCGGAGATTGAGATTGGGTGCTTAAACAACAGAAATTTATTTTCTCACGGTCTGGAGGCTAGTAGTCCAAGAGCAAGGTGTTAACAGGTTTGTTTTCTTCTGAGTCCTCTCTCCTTGGCTTGCTGATGGCCACTTTCTCCCTGTACCCTCACATGGTTGCATGGTTGTTCATTCTTTCATCTGTGTTTGTGTGTCCTAATCTCTTCTTATGAGGACACTGGTCACATTGGAGTAGAGCCCATATGACCTCATTTTACTTTAATTACCTCTTTAAAGGCCCTATTTCCCAATATAGTCACATTCTGAGGTACTGGGGATTAGGACATCAAAATATTAATTTTAAGAGGACACAATTCAGTCCAGAACATATAGGACAGAAAAAAGCTATGTGATAGAATAAAGATACATGCTTGAGAAAGTTAGCAAGTCTTCTCTATGGCTAGGTCTCATTTCTGACTGGCCAAGGACAGTTTGGTAGCATTATTACTCCACAACAGCTTGAGCAAGTTTGAGATGATAATTACATGATGAACCACACATTCATCCACATTTCTATGGTCAACGATGAATATACAGAGAAAATTGGAGACAGAAGAATATATCCACCCTGTTTCTGCCAAGATTTTCTAGGCTTTGAACTTGAGTCATTATGCTTAGCTTCACTCTCTGCCAGAGTGGGGGGGTGGCATTTAATCATTGCTTTTTCCTTCTCTTTCAGGACAAGTAGCTCTGTGCCAACTGACTCATCTGATACCAGCCTTAACTCTCACAAATGATATGGGAGTGGCAGGTTTCATCTATCTTAGAATAGGGAAAAGTAAAGAGGAAGTCAAGGTTTGCTTTGTTTGTTTGTTTGTTTGTTTTTTTAAGAATGCTGGAAGATTGGCACTTTCACAGATGGGAAAAACAAAGGTGAAAGGAGGAGCTGGTGACTGACTTGATGACTTGCCTGGGGACCAGCTCAGCTAGTAAGGACACAGCTTTTTGACTCCTATCCCAGTGTTCTTTTTACTTCACCACAAAGTAAGTAGCTCTTTACTCTGGTTTAATTTTTTCTGTTTTTTTTTTTTTTTTTTTTAAGATTTTATTTATTTATTTGTGTGAGAGAGAATGAGAGAGAGCACATGAGAGGGGGGAGGGTCAGAGGGAGAAGGAGACTCCCTGCCGAGCAGGGAGCCCGATGCGGGACTCGATCCAGGGACTCCGGGATCATGACCTGAGCTGAAGGCAGTCGCTTAACCAACTGAGCCACCCAGGCGCCCTAATTTTTTCTGTTTTAAAACATTCTTGGAAGTATTGCTTATGAATGATTTGAAATGCCAAAGAACATTCTGGATAGTGGTTAAGAATCCAGACTGGTCAAACAAGCCTGTGTTTGAACCTCAGCTTTATCATTCACTACTCTATAGCTTTGAGCAGGTTGTCTAACTGCTTAAAGCCTCAATTTCCTCAATAGTGGAATGGGGATAATAATAGCACCTACCTCACAGAATGGCCCTCGAGGACTTGAACCCATTTACCAAAAAATCGGTAGTGTTAGGCACATGGTAAGTGTTCATAAGAGATGCTATTATTCATTAGAATTCCCTAACATCTATCAGAATTCAAAATTTCCATTCTGGTTTCCTAGGCAAAAATGAAGCCAAAATAAATAAGTAAACAAACGAACATCATTGTTAGACAAGTTTCCATTTCACGGCCAAGAGGATGTTTATTACAATGCCTTGGGATCGAGCAGTGGAGCACCAGGGCAAAAAACAAGCATCAACAATTGAGTCAAGTTTCACAACTTTGAAGATAAAAAATCACAGCCTAAGGAGAAAACCAAAATCTCCAAGGCAGCAGAGTTCTGAGACAAAAGAAAAAGCCTGGGAAAAAAAGAAAAGGTGCTATCACGTCTGTAAGCTCAACAAAAGCATTGGTACAAGCCAAGAGTGACAGAGCCCACTTTCCAGATCAAAGAATGGAATTAAGATGCCCAAAGAAAGTAAAAGTCATCTTTAGTGAGAAAGTCTTCTTGTTTTTCAGAGCCCAGGATCTCTTAATGTGAACAATGTGAAGAGCTTTGTTCTCATGTAGAGTCACACGAGGAACTGACCTTTAAATCCTGATGGGTCCTGCTGCGGTGATTCCCATAAAACACCAGCTAGTCACACGGCCCACACACTTGAACAGGTTGCTGTGTTAATTTTCTTTAATCAGTAATTTTTTCCCAAAAGTTGGGTTCCAGGACCCTGCTGGGAAGCCTATCAGTCAAAAATTAATGAAACGCTATTACTATTTTCAAGTATCTAATTATGCACAAGGGAAAAATCTAGTCTCAGTTGAAGTAATAGAGCATTTTAAAATAGATCAGTAGCCCAAGAGATACCTACTAAAAAGGCTATTTATTTTTGTCAGACTTTATTGCCTCAAAGGCCAAAGCAAGACCCAGAAATAAAAGCACAAAATGAATTTATCCACAATGCACACAAAGAAGAAAGAGCCAGAGGGACTCTTTTGGAAGAGATATCTATAGGTTCTCTGCTCAAAATAAAGGAGAAAGACACTTTCAGTTATGTGGTCACTTCAGTTCTTTGCTTTGCTGAAATGGTCACTGATGAGCCAGATCCTTTCATATTTTTTGTTCACTCTTTTCCCGCTAATTTCAGTTCTTGTTTAAGAGCTGCACTGGGAACATTCTGCAAGGCAATTAGGCAGAATTTATAAAAATATTTAATATGATTATCTTTTGACCCAATAATTTCACATTTAGGAAGTCTTCCTACAGAAATTCTAACTAAAGTGTTTGAAAATATAGATATGAGAAAATTGGGGTACCCAGCTGGCTCAGTCAGTAGAGCATATGACTCTTGATCTCAGGGTCATGAGTTCAAGTCCCACGTTAGGAGTAAGTCCATTTTGCCATGTAAGGTAATACATTTTTGGTTCCAGGGATTTAGACATCTTTGGGGGCCATTATTTTACCTATCACTTCTCTCTAAGCCTCAGATTCCTCATCTCCAAAATGGAGTTTCTTCCACCCATGGTTCTTGTAAACTACAGATGAGACAGACTCTTGGCACATAGAAATCACTCAGCAAATGTTAGCTGTCACCACCACTGTTATGTAGCCTTTTTTTTAAAGTAATCTCTATGCCCAGCATGGTGCTTGAATTTACAACCTCAAGATCAAGAGTTGCACACTCCACTGACTGAGCCAGCTAGGCACCCCAGGGTATTTGCCTTTTAAGGTTCTGGCTTGTTACAGTCTGTACTTTTCTGTGTATATAAAATGTTTAAAAGTTTTTTAAAGAATGCATGGAGAAAATATTACAATAAGGCTCTTCAGCCCTGGGAGATTTCTGGGAGGCCCTAGCCACCAAACTTCCAAGCATGCCATGAATAGCCCAAACTCCTAGCCCTCACTGTGATGGCTCAAAGATGGCATCCCTATCATAGCCCTACAACAAAGCTACCTAACTCTGTGTTCTCCTTGGTAACTTGAATGAGGCAAATAAATAAATAAATAAATAAATGCAAAAAAAAAAAAAAAAAAAGAATGCATGGAGAAGTCAGAAAATAGGGATGCTGTCCTGATGGTACATGTATTTTGGGTTCTAGAAAAAAAATCTAAAGTTTTAGAGGTAAACATAAAATTAGGGCAGACAGATGAAAATGTATTTCCACTTTCTGTCCATCAGTTAAGGTTAACACCTATTGAACAATGGAACAGTTAAGGATGATATGGTTTGAAAATGCCCACAATACGTATGAAAATATTTAAGAAGACTTAAGCAAAAACATGTATACAAATTTAATACAGTCCATAATGTCAAGAAACAAAGAATTGGAATAGTGGTTACATTTTGTAGAGAAATTTAATTTTTTTTTTAAAAGATTTTATTTATTTATTTTGACAGAGAGAGAGAGACAGTGAGAGAGGGAACACAAGCAGGGGGGAATGGAAGAGGGAGAAGCAGGCTTCCTGCCGAGCAGAGAGCCCGATGCAGGGCTCGATCCCAGGACCCTGGGATCATGACCTGAGCCGAAGGCAGACGCTTAACAACTGAGCCACCCAGGCGCCCCGAGAGATTTAATTTTGAGACAGATTCTGAAGGAGAGGTTCAGAAATTTCTTTTCTTTTCTTTTCTTTTTGTGAGAGAACATGCATGTGCACAAGAGTGGTGTGGGGGAGGGGCAAAGGGAGAGGGAGAGAGAGACTCTTAAGCAGGCTCTATGCCCAGGAAGGGCTGACGCAGGGCTTGATCTCAGGACCCTGAGATCATGACCTGAGCCGAAACCAAGAGTCAGATACTTAACCGACTGAGCCACCCAGGCGCCCCCAGAAATTTCTAAGAAGGAACAATTCAAATAGGAAACTGGACTATGATGAGTCACAAAGAAGGGGCCTTGTCAGCAGACTGCAGGGAGGAGTAGTAGATTAAGGTGGCTGGAGCAGAATTTCCTTCTCCAAGTTCTGAAGAGTCATGAAAACAGATACTGGTATTTACATGAACATATGCACAGAAAAATGTCAACAGACAATTAAATAGAAGATTTAGGCCACCAGCAAAACTGACTCAACATCACAGATTTACATGGACTGTGACAATTACTGTCTTCCCTATATTCCCTATATTTGCTGGAGCCATGGTAAAAATGTAAAGTGTGAAGCTGATATTTGTGAACTGCTTTGAAAAAGAAAAGGGGAATGCTGATGGAGACCATGAGTTAGCCTCCCTTCATTCTCTGTTGGAAGTGTTAGAATTATCTCTCTAGGGTTAGATATAATTATTGAATAGATTAACATGGACAAATATCCTCCCCCTGAAAAGGGACAATCTATTTTGAAAATATCCCATTTAATGCTATCAAAATATTCTAATATTGGGCTAAATTCACCTTTCTGCCTTCAAATTAATTTGAGTGAAAGGCTCACCCTAATTTCTGTTGGGGGGTTGTAGATGGCTATGACCACTAACAGAAAATTTGAGTCAGTCCAGATTTGTGGCTTCCAGCACAGAGGGCGCCCTATGGCCCATCTGGTCAATCACCAGGTCCTCCTGCCCGCCTCATTATCACCGCTCACATCCTGATTCCCACCACTGTTGTTCCAGATGTAGCCTCACCTCCATTTGCCCAAATACTGGGGCAGCTTCCCCAGAGTCTGCCCACCATACTGTGGCCAGAATGAATACTCTCTCTCTCTCTCTCTGCCAACTTGAACAGATTCGTGCCATGCTTAAAGTTGGCCTCACAGTGGGAATGCCTCACTGTTGTCTCTGTGAGTTGTGAGTTGGGTCACAGGCCATGTCTTACTGATAATAAACCCCCAAAGATTCCAATGATGCAGTTGTCTTAGCCCTTGTCTAGAATGCCTTCCCCATCGCTCAGTCACTGGCTCTGTTGCCTGGCGGACTCCTGTTCCTGCAGGTCTCAGCTCAGATGCTTTCTCCTGCATGAATCCATAGTCTTGACTTCCCCAGCTGGTTCATATCCTTCTCCTAAAGCCTTGCTGGGCTTTGTGTAGACTTTCATATAAGACTTGTCTTGTTTGATTACAATTATTTATTAAGCTCCTTGAAGACAGGGACCACGTCTTAGTTTTTTTTTTTTTTTTAAGCTTTATTTACTTGAGCGAGAGAGAACAAGAGCACAAGGGGAGGGGGGGAGAGAAAGAATCTCAAGCAGACTCCCCATTGAGCATGGAGACTGACTTGGGGCCCAATCTCACCACCCTGAGATCATGACCTGAGCCAAAACCAAGAGTCAGATGCTCAACCAACTGAGCCACCCAGATGCCCCTAGTTTTTTTTTACATAGTCAGTAAATAGCAGCTTCTAGTACATTCATTATAGGCACACAGTGAACATTAATGGATGTTGAATGAAAAAATTAATACTACCACTGATATGGGGTAAAGAGTTCCCCCAATTAATTAGATCAACATTTTTCCCCCATTCCTGCTATCTGTGGCAGCAGGGGAAAAACCTTTCTTCCTAATTATGTCAAAAACACTGTCCCATGAAGTCTTTGCATTTTGAGAATAAAGGCTGAAAGAAATTTTTATCCTTTATAACATTAAAGGCCTTGATTATTGGCAAAGAGAGGACACCAGATTCATTAGAAGCAATTCTTTCTCTGTTCCTGTAACTAATTACAGATGAGTAATTTAAAAAAATTAGTATCCATAAAGATCGACTGTAAACCAATAAGGATGATGAGTTGAATCATAAGAATTCCATGCTATTTATATCTTCCCACACACACTCAGTGCATTTATTCTAAGTGGAAAAGTACAAATATTGGGATAAAAACATTTAAACTACAGAAACAAGAAATTCCAAATGCTAATCCTGCCTAAAGGGCAGAATTTAATTCTGTGCTAAGCTACTGTATATAGGATTAAGAGGCGTGGTTAACCAAACATTTGAGAACAAGCAATTACCACTGAATCTATCACATATTTGTTTCACACATAATTTATACAATAAGCCCACAGTGGGGAAAAATAAAATGCTGTTTGCAACATTTTTTTTCCAGCCACAAATTTTTCAGGCATCTTCCCCCCACCCCCCATCAGAGATTATTTACTCCTATGGCCTTAGGTTGGATGGCAGTGGGATACTTTTTCTCTGATATGTAGGGAAAAAGAAATAATATCTCTAACATGTTTTTCTTGGCTGTGTCCTTCCAGCCAATCCTGGGCACCTGAATGCGGAGATGCATGGTCCCCATAGTTGATTATGGGATACTTAAGAGTGGAATGGACATGCAAGGGAACACTTTCACTTACTCATTTATTTGTTCATTCAACAAACATTTGTGTGCCAACCTGTGTGCCCAGAATTGTGCTGGGCTCTCAGCATACAAGTGAACAGGACACGGTCCCCACCCTTGATGAACTCACAGTGTCGCAGCAGACAATTAACCCCACAATTACAATATAGAATAAGAAGCCAGGCCGGTTGCGGGGTGGGGGTACTCAGAGTTACAGGGGCTCTGACTGGGATAGTCAGCAAGGGCTGGAAGTGCCATCTAAGCTGCATCTCAAATGACCTAAAGGGCCCAGACTGTTGAAGGAGGGCAGAGAAGTGGAAATTCACAGCC